GCAGAAGTAAGTGATGTCATAGCCATGAACCAATCAGAGCAGCATCACAGGGAGACAAACCCCCTCAGATGTTACTCTGTGTGTGTGTGTGTGTGCGTTTACAGTGTGCACCATAATAAGACACGCGACAATGTCACAGGGATGATGATGAGTCTAAAAACTGACTGTGCTGAATTTATAGAGACGAGAGCGATATACCAGCTGAGTGAGTGAAGAGCCCACCAAGCTGTTCCAGCACTCAGATAAACAGTCAGCCATGTTTATGGGAGGAGTTCAGACCCTCCCCTCCAGTCAGGGCTGCACTCCCTGCTAAAACATGTCAAACGACAACAACAGTAAATCTCCAGCGCATTCTTTCTGACAAAAATGTGTTTTTGCCAAAACCAAATGCCTTTGGATGAGGACAGAGATTTATGAGTTATTATTTCTAAAGTAAAGTTGTTTCAAAACATGTCAACTCTAAAGAATGATCAGGTTTAGGTTAGACCGGGGGGGGGCAAATTCAAAAGTTAAAATCCGGGACGAAGACGCCCGGCCAAACTCAATATTTATTGAAAAAACTGACAGCAATTCTTCAGTTTTGCGTAAACATTGAATGTGGAACAACCAACGCTTAATATAAACAAATTAAATTTGAAATAAAACACACATCAGTGGTATTTGTTTCTAATTGTGTCTCTTTATCTGTAGCCTTTCGAGTTCCTCTTTAATGTAAATCTTTTTTTTACAGGCAGACAAAAAAAAAGTTTGTGTATACACCACTAATACTACAAATCCTGCTAGTATATACAGTAGGGGCTATATACTGGCAGGCCAACTCGAGTACACACTTGTGTATATGATCTCGTGGGCCAAATATAATTACACTGCGGGCCAGATTTGGCCCGCGGGCCTGTGTTTGACACAGTTAGCAGTGATTTTCCAACCAGTGTGCTGTGAGAGATCATTAGGTGTTCCAATGCCGTTCCAATTTCACTTAATTGGTCTATAAACTATTATTTATTTATTGCATATAATATTTCTTTGCTCGTCAAAGCACAAAAGGCAGAACAATTAAATTCTCTTCTGCTAGGTGGCAGTAGATGGCTATAAAAACTAAAAAAAAAAAAATCAAAGCTGTTGAAGAAGATCTTTGTGAGTGTCTTTCTTCAATTCCTGCCAGTATATCAGCGTTGTCTTCAACTAAACAATACAGAGTACACTGGTAAATTTAAACAAGAAGATTATTATATTTCATTACATATACTTTTGTGAGATTTTTGTTTGGTTTTGGATAATATACATGTGCCGTGGCTCAAAAAAGGTTGGGAAACACTGGGTGGAGTGTAGACTAGTATCAAGTAAACTAGGTAAAGGTGACATGGACCATGAGCTGCAGGGAGGCTGGGGATTGAACCAGCAAACTGCTGAACGACTGGCCATAAAGCAATGTTACCAAACTGCGTTGCTCCCTCAAAAACATGCCAGACAAAATTACATCCTCCTCACATTAAATCCTCACATGCTGACTATGGGTATTGTTAATGTCAGAGTAACCAAAATTCATGCAGCGAAATAAATATTTGAAAACACGTCAGACTGACCAAACATTTCCCAAGTTTCCTGTTCCATCTGCTGCCAGAACCCACACCTAAAGGAAGGAGCCAGAAAAAACAACAGCCACGTGTGACATCGAAGACAGAATCAATGCTGTCCTTCTTCTTTATCACTAAACACAGGACGTTTTCAGATACTGCTGAATGACAGGCGACACAATATTACTCTAATTAAATGAAAACCACTTGTTGAAACACTTTGGTTAGCAACAGGAAATAAAAATAGTTTAACAAAATTTAAATAAAATATTTGAAAATGTACATCTGCAACTGAGTCCAAAAGAGATTTATTTTTCTTTAAATTAAAATAAC